TCAACATTTTTAAAGTGATGATCTATCAGAAGACTGACTTTGGTAAAGAGCCTTGACATAAACCCTGGTGTTTTTGTTTGCTGCTGACTGGTCGAACTGTTACTGAGTTCAGTCCACTAATGCCTTGAATGGTCCGATTGCTTTGGCAGCACTGAAAAATTTCAAATGCTAAATTGTTCAGAGTACACCTCATTCAGCTACCACTGATACACATCACTATAAATATCCAAAATTTATTTTGTTTCAGAAGCATTTTTTGCAACGTGTAATTGAATGTCAAATGCTGTGAATCATTGAGGAAATATAATTACCTATATAAGTACTTATCCCCCGACAACCAGATGTGAGGGAGTTCCTTAGTTGTATATACACATTTACAATGTAGTATCATAACAAACTGACTGGATTGAACGCTGCATGGCTAGTTACCTCCATACAATCAACACATACACACCAATAATAAATATTTTCAAGTCTTTCTTTTTAGCTTGTGAGCATTTTACTTTGATTATTCAACGGATGTACATTTGCACACAAAAAAGGGAGGTACTGAATACATTGGCGATGAATTGCCTTTTTTTTGGTTTTTCATATACGTTTACAGCATACTTTCAAAACTGGCACATGTTGCATACAGAGAAACTGAATTTTGGCCTGTAAGAGGAAGATTCTGACAGTGTTTATCATTCAGGCCGTTTGAAAACGCCTTAGCATCGAATGTAATTCAAAGAATTGCTTTATCACGGTATTACTAACAGGTCAAATAAAATTCATTACAAAGTCAATTTACTGAACAATTCAACCTCAGTTAAAGTGTTAACAAAACGCTCTAAGCAATAAAGCATGAGCATTTTTTTTTTGGCAGTCAAAATCTGATTAAAACTTGTGAAACATTTTAATCCCCTGAATATGATGGATAATATCACTCACTGTATAAAGATATTCCTGCAGTGAGTTTTGAAATACAAGTTACTGGCGGATGCACTGCATTGCCAAAGCTATACAGAGGAGTAACTACAACTACCGGTAGATTCACCTAGAAAAGTACAAGTACATTCTCATAATGAATTAAATACACACACTTGATTTTTCCACCAAGTACATGTATGGAATTGACCTCATCATGCCAAATTTTTTGTATCGCAATACAAGTCAAAACATGCAGCCAAAGAAACATAGCTGCACAGACAGACCTCTACTGTCTAACCTAGATACAATCTGCTAGAAATAAAATACAATAATTAACACAACTGGCATAGTTCTTACATGTTTACAAGAATGATGAAAGTTTTGATTACAATAATTAACACAGTTAATTATTAAACCCCAGCATCGCAGTTTATTTTTAAATGATTATATATATCGTTTCCAATTACATTCAATTAAACAGAGGTTGAAAAAAAACAACTCAATATTTGATTTCGTTTGAAGAGTTTTCAGACTAAGATTTGTTATTATTCATTCTCTCTCTCGGTAGCAAGAATTTGGGTTCAAGAATCACAATAAACCAAACCTATTTCTTTTTTCTTAAATAATCTCAAAGTCTATCATATTAAGTTAGGGAATGTCCCAAAATATTTTCCCCCAATACAAAATAAACCCATTTCCTCTCAGAGGAAAGCTCTTCAAAACATTTTGAAATTCAGTAAAACTCAATCATAATTTCCATTTGAAGGCTTGAAAAATACCCACAAACTAAACAAAACCTTTTTTTCCAGTTTTTTGGTGCTGACTTAATGTTTGATAATCTCTCATTCACCTATTTTGTTTGGTATCTATCTCTACGTAAAACATGTCCCAATTACGCTGCTGGTGACAATGTTTCCAACAACAACAAAAAATGCCTGAATGGAACCAATATCTTGATTTGATCTCACAAGCAAAAAAATAAAACTGGGTGTTGTCTCTCACCTTGAAACTTCTAAAATAAAAATCCTTCTTTTAAGGGTAAAAAAAAAAAAAAAATATGTACATAACAAATAATACAGTGTAAACTTATTGAAGGAACACAAGTAAAAGTTCATGCAACAGCAACGTTTTCATGCAACAGCAATATATTTTAAAACAAATAATTATATTAATTTCTAAGTATTTGTTTGCAAACAACACATATAAGGCACTGGCTTAAACATAATGGAAATCAAACCAGACTGAGTACATCTATAGGAACTAAAACACTACAGTCATCATGTAACACATGTTCATAGTTAATTTAAACAAACATTGTGTACAGATCCATTCTGAATGTCACACAGCACAATCAGACCACTGTGACATTTCAGGAAAACATTTTGAATCAAAGCATCACCTCATCGTCACAGACACACCATCATAAATAAACAAATGGAAGCCCTACATAAGGCAAGGTTCCTCGTCAGCTATCATAAATATTCTTTCAGTATAGTGAGGTTGAAAGAGATACCAGATACCATAAAGCATTGAGGGACAGTTTTACAGCTAGTTACCCAAATTGGTAGAATACCACATATTTTAACAATTTTAACCTGGCTGTTAACATGCAGAGGAGAAAAGTATTTCAGAGAAAATACAAATTATTAAGTACCAGCTCCAGACTATGTGTGGTTGGACTGAAGAAAACATTCAAAAATTACAGAAAAGTTTGTTTTTCAATTTTTGTTCATGTACGTATCAAAGCTTCTGTTGACCTGCAACAAACTTGTCTTTAGGAGAAGACCAAACCAAAAAGAATGATGTTGCAGAGAGTCAATTTGTTTTTCTTGTGTTAACTGAAAAAGTATGGAAACCACATTAAAGGCAGCATGCACAGCAAGTCAGCAAATACATCAAGCTATATCAACTCTAGTATATCTCAAAATATCAAAGTTCAATACTGAATCTAAAGCCAGAAACCATCCAGTTCAATGTCATGGCAAAACAACTATGAAATAGGGTATTAAAGAAAATTGAATACCGAATATGAATGCTCATACCATGCAGACAAACCATGATTACAGAAATACATAGTAAATAATTAATTATAACAAATTTGAATAATAATAATAATGAAGAAACAAAAAAGTTTACATTATTTCATTAGCTGATCTCTGTTTAACAGAGCTGAGGCTAACTATGTACTGTCAGTAATTTTTACAAATAGAAAAAAAAAAGACATCGAAGCTCTCATCTAGATATACAAGCAAAAAAACAACAAAAACAAATACCGATATAATGGTAGTGTTTTTCCTTATCAAGTGACCTTATAAACACGATGCAAATAGAATATTAAGTATATTCAACACATGTACAAAACTTTATTATCTATGGTTGAATGTCTAAAATGGAAACCAAAATATCTTTCATCTGTCCTGCATTCCAAGATGGCACAACTGGTCTACAGCTGCAAATGTAGCTATAATATATATATATCTATATATGGCGTATATAAAGTCAACAGTTTTAAACCGTTGCAATTGTAGTATCCTATACACGTGTCTAAATACAGAATACTGCAACCCAATCTGACAGGGTATCACAGTATTAATCAAAGCAAACTATTAGAATCCTAATTACATTAATGAAATTAAGAACGAAAAAGAAAAAAAAAAACTAAATCAGGCTCTGCCATGTCCTCTGTTCAAAAAATCGTAATTTTTTCCCACTCACTTTTGCTCTGAAGAAAAAAAAATAAATAATTTGTACTTTAGTATGTTACTTACAGAATAATTGGAAGAAATCTGTATTGATGACTTGAGCCCTGCAGCAGGGGATGAAGCCAATTTTGATCCATCAAACTTTATATGTAAGTAAGCCATCCATGCTTACGTCATGTTCTGACATTATTAAGGCAGTATTTCAAGCATGTTTCTGTCTTTAAGTCATGGATAATCTAATTGTACAATAATAACTAATAATAAGCCAAGCACAGAAAGTGCTAGGAGGGAACAGCTGGTTTGTATTCTATACAACAAGCAGTCAAAAAGTATAACATTTCTTTCTCTAACAAAAAAGAGAAAACTGGCAGTTTTAGACCAATCATATCCTGATACTTCCAAGGCTGCTTTTATAAGGTAGATGTTCTGTCAATGGATGGACCATCTGAAAATAAAAACAAAGAATTTTCAATATTTAACATAATTAAAGTGGTCCAATAATTTTGTAGTTTGTTCTTACAATGCAGATTAACTAATTACACTGAATGATTCTGGAATAAAAAGCATGCAAATGATAACATCATATCAATCAGCACATTATTACTGGAAAACAGACAATCTGAAAATCCAGGCTGTTTACCAGGGCAGAGCTATGTCACAGAATGTGCACCACTGTACCACGTATTTCTATGAGCTCTGTGCGAGCTGCTGTAAATCGCCAGTCAAAGAAATGGTGAAATCAGATTAAGTCAAGAAAACAGCTCAAACTCAATTTTAAGGGGGTGAGGTGATCTTGACAACCTGGATTATATATTATTCACATTCAGGGGAGATCTAGTTATACTGTACAGGAAAATCTCAACAACTAACCCAAAGTACAGGTTACTACATTTGTTTTCACCATGATCCTTGCAAGGCAGTGAAAATGCTTGGATGTTCACCTTAGAATTGGATGTTTTAGAATTTAGTTGGCAGAGATTTGTAAGTTGAAAAGTTGAATATTACATGAATAATGAAATATTGATTTACATACCACCCAGTGCATGCTCTGTAACACTAAGGCAGAGTGACTCAAGGCGATTGTTGATCTCTGGTTCAGTTGCACCAAACTGGTAATCAGCAAACGGTCTACCAGGCTGAATCATGAAATTACCAAGTTGTAGAGACGGTCTACGTACAGGAGCTGATTTAGTTCTTTGAACACCCTGGTGGCTATTGCCCTGCACAAGAGGAAACAAAGTCAATTTTACATCAATTAATTGAAGGACTTTTTTTTTCCACTTGAAAATGATATCATGAAAGCATGCGCCACATTCAATCAGAAGAATTCTTAAAGGGGCACCTTCCAGTTAAGATTAATTTCACAACAAATTTACTTTCTGGATTAAAATAACAATGGATAACAAAAGATAGATTAACATTGTAAACAACATAAACAATAGTGTCCCATGATTCTTTGGTGCAATCCATGGGATTGAGTGGTTCCCCTTTAAAGCGCAACCTGCCAAACCCAGGGATTGCACAAAGGAATCATGGGACACTATTGTTTTCAATGTTAATCTTTTGTTATCCATTGTAATTTTAATCCAGACAAATTTGTTGTGAGATTAGGGTTAAATGAAAATACCCCCTTAAGGGCATTGCTAATAATTAAATGAATGCCCATGATAATTCAAACTATTTTTGTTGGTATTTGTTGCTTTATGTAGAAATCTAACATTTCACTACAATTTAAATCGTTTCTAAAATAATAGTTATTCAAGAAGTTATTTGACTATTTTTAGTTTTAGCTTGACCTAAAGCGATGATTGGTAATTTATGAGACTAATGAGTAAACAGGTATGCAGACTTACGGGTCTTGGCTTCAGAAAACTATTGACACCTCCTGGACTTGTGGTACGTGTAAAGACACCTTGAACACTAGTAGTACCAATAGGTCCAGTACTTTGGTTTATTCTCTGTGGTAGAGTGGTTGGGGTGAACTGTGGCCGTGAACTGACTCTTTTCTGTCTTTGTATACCACTACCTCCGACTATGTAATCATTACATCCTGTTGGAAAGGTATTACCATGCGTCAACCACCTGTAAATAATTTGATTCAAATATGTTAACAATGACTATTTTCAGTTGTGCAAAAAAAATTATGTCCGTGCAGTGGAAATACATTAACACTGCTCTCTAGTGGTAGAGAATCAATTTACTTTGTTTTTATAGGGAATAACAGAACAATGCAAAGGGCATTATTCTTTCCTTTTTGCAGATGATGATGATCACTCTTGAGTATCAATATGTAGATGTAAAAAACAATTATATCAAATTTTACAAGCTTAGCGTGGTTATTTGCTTGATGGTACTCACCCGCCTCTCTGTTTACTACTATCTAATGACAATCTCCGAGGATGAGATCTACATGCTCGTTGACACTGTTGTTTCCATGAGGCTAATCTCTTCTTCTGGATTTCAGTAAATGCTTCATGGTTCAAGGTTTTATCTATAAGCTGTATGTACAGACTCAGATTATCTTCATCTGGACGCGACACCAGCAGTTGCGTGCATACTGTCAACAAATCACATTGTACAATCAGTATAT